TGTACCTCTTTGATTTCTTAAGATAGCCGATGAAATAATCACTAATAGTTCTAACATCAAGCTTCTTTTCATTTGGATTGTACACATTTACTTCTACTGGACAACCTCAGACATGAAGATGTCTTAAACTGAGTTTCTTTCTTGTCCATAATTCATAAAGAGTCTTTGGAACTGCCTTACTAGGAACTCTATTAAGTAGATACTCAGCAGTCTTTAATGCGTACATCCACAAAGATATAGGTATAGAACTGTAACTCAACATACTTTTAACCATTTCCATGATAGTACGATTCTGCCTTTTAGCTACACCATTTTGTTGTGGTGTACCGGGCATAATATACGGTGCACATATTCCTCGATTTTCTAGAAGTGTCACAAATGGACCTCGACATTGTCCACTTTCATCAAATTTTCCATAAACCTCTATCTGACCTCACAACCTTTACCTTTCTATCTAGTTGCCTTTCCACTTTATCAATGAACACTTGTAAGACATCAACTGATTGAGATTTTTCATGCAACACATATAGATAGATATAACGTGAGTAGTCATCAATAAAGATAATAAAATATTTTTCACCACCCTAAGATGGGATGTCAAACGGACCACAAATATCAGTGTGTATCAACTCTAAGAGTTGACTGCTTCTTGTGGCTGGATTCTTTGATGTGTGTTTGGTTTATTTTCCTTTAATACAATTCATACATACATCCCAGTTAGCAAAATTCAACTGAGGTAAAATTTCACTTTTCATTAACCTCATCATCCTTCTTTCGATATGTGACCTTAACCTTTGATGCTACAAGAAAGCAGAGCATTCATTATGCACATTCAAATTACTGCTAACAGCATTCTCAACATGAAATAGAGATTCAACAAATTTAACATTATGATTAAAACGATATAAATTATCAACTAATATACCAGATCCAAAATAGTACGAGTGTTTATAGAAAGAAAAAGTACCATTTTTAATCTTAAAATTAAAACTAAATTCGTCCAACTTTGCAACATAAACCAAATTTCTAGCACATTCAGGAACATAAATACGCTTTTCTAGATTTATGCAGCAACCAGTATGCAAGATCAATATTTAAGTTCATATTCCTTCTATCCATGCCTTCATTTTGTTCCCCATGTATAAGAACTCTTCAGTTCTGCTTATGGGCTGGATCGAAAAAACTCCTTGCATTACATGTGACACATGAGTAGTTGCACCAGAATCTAACCACCAAGTGTTTTTAGGTACCTCAATAAGATTTGATTCAAAGCATACTGAAACATAATATATATACCTTTCCTTTCGAACCAAATCTTTCTCTTCAGACAATCTTTCTTGAAGTGACTAGTCTTCTTGCAGAAGAAGCAGCTCTGACCCTTCTGGATTCTACTTTCACAAACCTTTAATAAGGCCTTATTCTTCTTGTCCTTGTTGTCCTTTTTACCTGGTTTAGCCTTGCTACTACTAGCCTCTTCATGAAATGTGAGATAGACGAAATGTTCTTTCACCTTTTTCAACCTCTCTTCCTCCTGAACCAGTATAGCCTTAATTTCCTGTATATTCCATTTATCCTTAATGGTGTTGTACTTTATCTGGAATTGACCAAACTCCAGAGAGAGTGAATTCAAAATGAACTGTACTAGAAAGAATTCCTTCGCCTCCATGCCCATTGATTTCAACTTTGCTATTTGATTGATCATGTCAGTCACATGGTCATGAATAGGTCGTGACCAATCAAACTTCTTAGTAGTCAACTCAGTCAACATGGTACCTGAAATGGACTTGTCAGTAATGTCCGATTGTGTATACTCTTTTACCTTTGCCATAAATTCCCTAGCATTTTTAGTCTTTGGCATTGATGGCTTCACATTTTCAGCCATAGTCATTTTTAGCAAGTTTAAGCTCAGCTAGTTCGACCTTTCCCAAGCTTCACAAAGAGTCTTTTCCTCTTCAGTACTGGTCTTTGTGATGGCTGAAGGCTCTTGTTTCATAATGATTGCTAGGTCTAACTCCATAACACCTAGCTGGAATTGAACTTGCTCAGCCCAATCATCATAATTGATCTCGTTGAACTTGACTACGCCATTGCTCATGCCATACGCACTCATAGGGACTGAAATATTTAACACACGCTTAAACATTTATGCTTTGGATAAACTTGATGGATTCAAATAACCAACTATTATCAATTATGTATCTAAGTTTACCTTTGGATAATGCCTAAATACACAATTTATCTATAATGATGCTAAATAAACAACTTTAATTAACAACTAGTCACTCGAACCAATTTGCAAGTCATCTTTGGATATACAAACATATTATGAAGTGTTTTCATGTCTCTTTAATGTCATTAATCATATGCAATGATCTACCTTTGGGTGATCTCCTAGCGTTATAATTAATGAGCTAAATTATTCACCTTTTATGTTACCACATAGCATCAAACAATTTTGAACAATTTACAACACACAATTAAATGCTTAAACAAACTTTTAAAGTTAGGCCACTTTGGTGACTAACAAGCTACCCTTAAAATTAAGCATTATATTGTGAGGCTTTCATTATGATCATACAACTTAGAATTAATTAACTTGAGAATTTAATCACTTTGGTAAGTAAAATCTACTTTGATGTAATTCTAAAGTGATCCATAAATTTTATGAATTATACTTCTTATTCTGCCATGAAATTACTATGCATGGCCGTACTTTTACTTGATATATAGTCGTGCTTCGATGAAGCATGGTCATGCTCATTTCTGATGCATGCCCCTGCTTCCTAATGTATGGTCGTGCTTATATTTGATGCAAGGTTGTGCTTCCTGATGCATGGCCATGCTTCCATTATGCAAGGTCGTGCTTATTCCTAATGCGTGGTCGTGCTCCTTGATGCATGGCCCTTATCACTGACACATGGCCCTGCTCATATTACATATTCAAAACCTAACGTTTCTATCTTCCAAAACTTTAGGGTTTTCAATTATTGAATCAAAAACAATTATTTAACATCAAAATTATGTCAATCCATCATATAAAATACCTAGGGTTCATGCAATTTGGAGAAAACTTTAATGGAGAACCAATCTTTTATGGAGAATCAACAAAATTCACAACTTTGCTCTGGTATCAACTATCAGATTTTTTTTATTCCATTATGTAATTTCTATTTGATACAACTATTATGAAATTAACATTTCCCATTTGATCTTGAATTGCATTGTTCTCACAACACAATACATGGTGCTCACACAATTAAGGGTTTAGAGAGCACTAACATGAATCTATTGTTCCTTAATGTTACCTCTCTCTTTAATGTCGTTAACCCTTTGTATTTTACCAAACTCTTCCTTCCTCTTTTAACTCCTCTTGGATGGTTGAGAGAAAGTTCTTTTCTTGCGATTACCGTGAAAAAATAATAGTCTCAATAAAGAATGTCGTAACTTCTATTTAGTAACTACTCTTTTATTTATCTGAAGGGAGAGAGAAATGTTTCCTTATAATTATATTTACAATTATACCATCAATGACTCTATATTTTATATTTAACCACTATCACATTAAATCATTAATTAGAGTCATGCTATAAATTACATAAATCACTATAATAAGATTATTAAAATAATCTAACAGACAATGTTTTTTATTTTGGTGGCACTACTTTTTACAATGTTAGAGGCAGAACAACATACACCAACTGTCTTTGATTAACGATATCTCTATATTAACAATAATTTTGAAGAATCTTTCTATATTAATAAAAAATTTGAAATTGAAATTTAAAATAATTTTTTATAAAAATAAATATTCAAGATGTTTAATTACAGCTCCCGCATACGATGCTTCTTCAAATTTATGAACAAAAAGCAAGCACCAATATATTATTAGTTAAGAAAATTAACTTTAACCAAATTAAAATATACAAACTTTGACAAAAACATGCAATTACTGTTTGGATCAAAAGTAGAACCCACAATTTCCAACCGCACGTATGAAGATTATTTTATTGGGAAAAACTGTATCTACTTTAATAATCTCTCCTCTCATCTAAAAAATATCTAAAAGATCCACACACACACGCAAATAAAAAGCCAATTGAAAAATCAGAAACTACCAAAACTTAAGATCCACTGCTCTTCTATAAACACATTATTTGAAAGTTAATCAAATTCTCATTGGAGTTTCATTGAAAGTGAAGGAATTAATTTGTTAGAAAACTAGGAAATTTTAGTTCAACTTTTTATTAGGAAAGAGACATTGATATTTAATATCTTATTATATCTTGAACAAAATAATTTGACGTATGAAAGATATATGAAAAATCAATGAAATATAAATAACTAACGCCATCAAATTTTTAAGCACGTTAATTAATGTCTATCAAAAACTTTCTGTCAAGAAAGAGATATTATACTAACTATAATTGAGAAAACAAATTGTTAACTTGTTGGGATAGTTTATTGTAAGTAACAAATTTTAACAAGTTGAACAATAAATGTTTAAATCTAATTTAAGTTCACAAAAATTATATTTAAGCCATATTAAAATTTTAATTTTTTGAACTTTTTGTAAGTCTAGCTGACATAAAACTTAATTAGATGAAGTTAAAAAGTTTTCATTTTAATTTGAATTCAAATTTAAAATATAAACTCTACATTTTATTTAACAAATTGGAAGACAAACTTATTTTGTTGCAACTTTGCTAATTTTTCTGCCTTAAAAATGATTAATTCTTACCGTCAGTTAGAGGGTATTTTTTTTAAGAAAATAATAAAATAAAATAAATAAAATTGACGGGTTTCGTTCGGTCTTGACTGTGGGCTCGCAGGTAATATATATAGTGGCCCAAATCAGTGGCATTTTCATTATCCAGGATTAGAATAAACGACCAACACACAATATTTCGCTTAGTTCCGTGGGTCCTCTTGTTGGGTTCAGCCTTGGGCTGGGCCTATAGCCTTTTTAAGCCTTGATGTATTAACAAAACAGAAAAGAGTTGAGAACTTCGGTTCGGATTCAATTGCACCGTGTTTGGGTGCAGTCGCAAGTTTTGGAAACCCCATGAAATCAAGGTCACACTATGGTGGTTTTGCGGGTATGGAGTTCCACTCCCGGCTTGGACCTAAGAATATGGAATATGGCTTCCTGATTTTGCTCCTCTTCTTTCCTCACACCTCTGGTTACCTTCTCTCTCTTTTAACTTTTTTTCTTTTAGATAAATAAAAATCATATTGATTTGCAAATTTTATTTGTTATCAACAATTGTCTTTTTATTCATTATTTAATCACGATAAGTTATAAGCAAGGATACACGCAGGAAAACAAGAAAGGAAATTTTTTTTCTCCTTTTTGAAATAGTGTGTAGTTTCAGTAGTGAGTAGTGTGATAGTTTAGGATCGGGGCAATTCTTAAATTTGTTCCTTTCTGATGCTCTGGCGTCGTGGTTGTGTGAAATCCCTTCCTAAGTTGTTTTGTCTTCTTAGAGAGACACAGATTTTTGTTTTTGAATTGGTGTTACAAGGTTCAGTTTTTATCAGTAGTAATTTGACGCTCACAGGGAAGACATTGAGTGGTTTATTCTTTGATCTCATTTTCATGATTGATAACGTGTTCTGTTCTATTAGACCCAAGTCATCCAATGCTATTTTGGCGGTCCATTGAGTTGGTGAAGTATACTCAAAAGTCAAAACTCAAAGGGCAATCTTAATGGAACTAATTGATAAGCTCAGATTTGGATATAAAGCTTGCATGGGCTTGTGGAAGCTAGTTATATAAACTGGCTTTAGAACCAGAATCCCGAATAATGTCGAGATAAACTTTTGTACCCTGGGTTTAAACTATTTACGACTGTTTCTGCCTTCCTTCTCACGGTACCAATGTATATGTCATTCAGCTTAGCTTTTAGGGATCCTTTTTTCATCCTAGTTTCTGCACTCTTCTTTGTTCAACTAATGCTAAAATGGGCATGCTTAATGTATATCTATAACAACAACAAACAAGTCTTATTCGACTAGGTGAGGTCGATTATACAGATCACATAATACTATCAATTAAAAGATACTTTTTAATAACTTCCTCTAGGATTCTTCTAAGTCTCTTTTGTCCTTTTTTTTACTAGACTAAAAGTTATGTCATTTCCGTTATTCATTGATGCCTTTAAAGGTCTTATCTGTATGTGACTAAACCATTTAAGACAATTTTCATTCATCTTTTTCACTATAAGTGTTATTTTAACACTTTCATGTATATAATCATTTCTTATCTTGTCCTTTCTCGTGTGATCATTTATCCACCTTAGTAACATTATCATTTTTTTCACTCTCATTTTTTTCTTGTGTTGTGTTTTTAAGATTTATCATGCATTACCATATAGGATAGATGATTGTATTATAGTACGAGTACGTTCAAACTTTATTTTCTGCATAATGAGTACTTTATAGTCTCAAATAATTTATTTTTTTCACTTTAACCACCCAACTTTTATTCTATGAGTAACATCTTTATTAATTTTTTCGTCATTATGTAGAATTGATCCTAAATACTTGAACTTAGAGACGTGGTATAATATCATCTTTAATTTTAACTTTCAACGCATGACCTTCAAATTGTTTTTTGCTCAAACAAAAATCGTTAAAGTCTCTCTCCCTAACTAAAATTTAACATTAACCTTTTCTTTGAATCCACAACCAATACTATGTTGTTTCTAAAGAACATGCATTTATGGGTAATCTTTTTAATGTCTCTTGTAAGTACATTTAGGACTAGGTTAAACAAGTAAGAACTGAAAGTGAAGCTTTAGTCTATCCCATAGGAAATTTTTATATACACCTTCAAAAATTCTTACACATAGTTATCCCTTTATATATGTCTTGTATAGCTCAAATATATGCACATAAATCCTTTTATGTTCTAAAGCCTTCCATAACGCTTCTCTTAGTACACAGTCATATGTTTTTTTCAAGTTAATATAAATCATGCGAATCTCTTTCTTTACAGCAATACCTTTTCATCAATTTTTGTGAAAGATATACAGTTTTTGTTGTAGACCTTCCTTGAATAAAACCAAATTAATTTTCTGTAATTCAAGTTTTATTCTGTAATCTATGTTTGATCACTTTTTCCTACAACTTTATAGTGTGATTCATAAGTTTAATCTCTTTATAATTTGTACAATTTTGGATATCACTCTTATTTTTTTATATAGGGACCAAAGTGTTCTTTTTCCATTTATCTGACATATTCTTAGATCTTTATTAAAGATCTTAGTAAATTACTCAATTCCTTGTTTTACCAAATTTTTTCAAACTTTAATAGAGATATTATCATGGATAACTGCTTTATCATTATTGATCTTGTTAAGAGTTTTCTTTACTTTTCCAACTTGAATTCTATGTTAATATGCCAAAGTTAGATCATTCACTTGAATTTCTAATTTTTCTATGTTTCCATTTAGTCCTCGTCTATTGTTAAAAATTTATAGAAATAGTTCACCCATCTATCTTTGATATCTTGATTTGAAATCAATATTTTTTTTTTCATTCTTAATATATTTAACTTGATCCAAATTTCTAGATTTTTTTCTCTACTTTTGGAAAACTTATAAATATTTTTTTCCCCATATTTTGTCCTAAAATCTTGATAGAACTCCTCAGAGGCCTTAGAACGTGTTTCATTCACTGCTTTTTTTTGTCTCATTTCTTGTTCCAATACCTTGCCCAATTTTCAGCATTGTTACATACATGCAAAGTTTTAAACACATCCTCTTATTTTTCTACTATTCTTTTGCACACTTTTATTTCACCATCATGATTTCTTATCTTTTGGTCCATGATGGTAACACTACCTTATGCATTCAAGCTACCCTCTTCTAGTAGTATCTGCTTCTAAAAGTTCAATTATTTTTCACCTTTAAGTAGCTATCACTTGATTTGTGAAACAATAACTTGTTAAATTCTCTATTTACTAGTCTTGAAATGAACATTAAGGACGAAGACCCTATACTGTGTAGTAAGACTCTCTTGGAATCACTTTATAATCCTTGCAAATTCTTTTGTTTAGATTTCTTACCAAAAAAGAAATCGATTTGCAACCTTGAGACCCTACTCTTAAAAATGATAAGATGTTTCTCTCTCTCTCTGCTCAAAAGAATTGTTGATAATCTTGAAGTTGTAACCTATTAAGAAATTAAGGATAAATCATCCTCCCTTGTTTAATTCTTTAAAACTAAAACCATTATAAACTTTTGCAAACTGTCTTGTCTCACAACCAAACATGACTACTTAAGTCTCCGCCTATGAAAATATTTTTGGCTTGTGAAATGTCTTAGATTGACCCCTTTAAACCATCTCAAAACTTTGCTTTCAAAAGAGCTTTTGAGCCATCTTATGGGGTATAAGCACTAATGATATTAATAGTATCTTGTGCAACCAATAACTTCAAAGATATGATCCTGTCTCCAAATTCTTTTAAACTCTAACACATTATTTTTCCAAGTGTTATCCATAATTATGCTTACTTTGTTTTTTTCTTTGACTTTTTCTGTATACCAAAGTTTAAAATCTATAATATTGAGTTCCTTAGCCTTATATTCAACCCACTTTGTTTCTTAAAGGCACATGGTGTTAATCTTTTTACAAATCATAGTCTCTACCACTTTTAACAACTTTCCTATCAAAGTACCGATATTCCACCAACCAAACCAAAACACTCATTCCTGAACTAACTTTTTTTATCCACATTTGTCTAGCCAAATGTGAGGATCGTTGGTCATTTTAACACTACATCTAAGGGCCAGTGCAGTGGCTCTAGGCTCTAGCTCATTTGACCCTGCGCCTGAGCTATACAACAGATTGCTTTTGCGTAATGTAATGACCTAACCCTAGCATTATATCATCGTCAGTGATCTGTGTAAAAGATTTTGACAAGTTTTACTTTGGCTGTCGAAAGCCTAACATAACCTTTCTCCTTTACTCAGGATTGGGATGGACTGTGGGGCCATAGGCGGAGTTATAATGCACATTTTTGTTGAAAAATTATCATGGGAAGAAATCCTGATAAAAGAATTCATAATGAGAAGTGAACAACTTCATCTTGTGTAGGCATATTGTAATTCATATTTGGCAGAATATTGTACAGGTGTTACTTTTCTGTTATCACAACCTGCCTTGTAATTCAATCTTTATTCCATTTTCCACATTTTTTGTTTGCAAGAAATAATGTGTTTAATGTACATAGTAACTGAGTAGAGTTTGCCTCTATAGAAAATTTGGGGTTTTAATGCACCTTGTTATCAAATGTTGTAACAATCTGCTGGTTGTGCAATTGTAAAAAGTATCTACTCAAGTTAGGTATCTTATAAATTATTTTGGTAGGTCAAAGCCAAAGTTTATCATTTCAATTTTGCTTGTTACTGCTTCTTTGTTAAATGAAATTATAGCAGAATAATATTCGTGTATGCCTGCGGTTTTCAATTCTCTTTCTCTTTTGTGGATGCAGGTAAATCCAGTGGAGTGTGTGTTTCTCAAGGGGGTCGTTTCCCTCCATTCAAATTTGAGGGAAACCCTCCCAGAAAGGGTCCTAAAGATTTGACCCTTTGCCGTGTTTTTCGTAAAAAGACTTGCTGTGATGTAACCCATACATATCCTGCACTGCTGTCTGTAAGGAAGCTTGCTTCTACTGGGGAAGCTAGCCAAGAGTGCTTGCACTTATGGGAACTGTTGGAATGTTCCATATGTGATCCACATGTTGGTACCGAGCCTGGACCTCCTCTTATTTGTGCATCTTTATGTGAGAGAATTTACGACGCATGTTCAAATGCTTACTTCTCTATGGATGTTAAAACACAGGTATATGGGCAATTATTTCTCTTTTAAAATTTTTATGTAAGATTATGCAAATAAGTTGAGAGTGCTGCATCTACTGGTATAAGAACAAAAGGTTACATTTTTTCTTCTGTTTTGTTTGGAGTCATTTGTCAATAAATTATAGCAGAACATTGTTTAATTTATTAGATCACCTGTCTTTAGTTTATTTAACATGTTTCCTTATGTCCATTTTTTTATTGACTTGAAACCCCAGATTCTAGCACCTTGTGGAGTAAATGACTTTGTATGTGGTAGGGCTGCTGAATGGGTCTCCAATGGTACAGATCTTTGTCTTGCTGCAGGTTTTCGAGTGAAGCCATCCGGTATTGTACATATTGCCTCAAAAGAAGATTCCTGCTATGGTGATAAAGCAAGTCTAGGTTCAGTTGCTGATTCGTGGAAGGCTTCACAGTTTGAGTTGACCAAGCAAGGTGAGGGCTTGAGGATGTTTGATGATTTCCAACAATGGGTAAGGGAAATGCCATTCGGTGAAAGAGTTTCTTGGGCTATCGGAGGGATGGTTCTGACAGCAGGGTTACTGTTTATAAGGTCAGAAAGCTGTCTTTTTCTTTCCTATTTTGAGTAGCTGTGCATTTTGTATGCCCTTGTCAGGTCAATCTTAGGCATGTTAAAAAGACACAACTTGTTACACGTGAATTATCAGGAGTTGTTCTCCATGTTCGTTTTCTATGTATCGTTTTAATTCCATATTCGTTTTACTCTGCATATTTTGTCTAACTGTGAAAAGCTGTGATGGAATTAATATTTCCCCGTAACATATTACCAAAGTCAACCAATTACAGTAATACAGTTGCATCTTAGCTTAGCAAGAATCTTGGAATTTGTTATCTATTTTGTTTGTAGTGTACATTCATTTTCTCGATTGTTGAAATGGTGCCTATTTTATATTTATATCTATATATGTTAATGTTGCAGCCAAAGGAAAAGCCATAGCCAACGCCAGAAACTAGCAGCTATAAAGCGAACTGCAAGGAAGTTGGAAGGCAAGATGGCGGAGCAACGGTCTTCTAATGCACAAGAACATAGGAGAAGAATTTCCAGATGAGTGTTCCTTGTATGTGATATTGTGAACATACTTAATCGTGCTAATCTGTGGGTGAATCTCGAGTTCTTATTTAAAATAATTAAGTGAAGTCTTACTTAGTATGTGCTTTCAACGATCTTCCCTTCTTTCTGTTCATATATACTTTGATCTTTGATTTTTTTCCCCTTTAAAATGGGTTTTGTTTAAAACAATGTATAAATTGGTTATAAAAGAGTTCGGTATGGTCTTGTGGCTTTTCTCTGTAAGGAAAAAATACAACATAAAAAACTGTTTCCCCTGTACTGTACGACTTTGGCAACTAAGTGAATGTTTGAAAACAAGTTAAAAATTCTGTAAATATAAATTTAATGTAAAAATTATAATTAATATCGTTAAAGTAAAAGTAAGTTCATGTCCATTTAAACGTGAAACCAAACACGCTCTTAGAAGATAGATGAAACAACCATGTCACGCACTGCCTCTGACCATGTATTCCTGTGGTGCTTCTATACGGCTTAACCTTTGAACCTCGTGATTGCTTTCTACTCCATGCCTATTTGCAATCGGTTCTAATGACGGCAGCTCCTTTTCAAACGCTGGCAGTGTCGGTATGTGAAGTATAAAACAATGTTTGAAAGAACGGGAGAGGAAACATTTGGGATTAGACTTGTGGTGAGGAGTTAGTATATTTTGTACACGGATCAGGATCCTCTCCAAGTTTATGCAGGAAAAGGAACTACTTCCGGTTTTATTTTTACCGTAGCCAACAATGACCCTTCCTTCTCCCTCTTCACATCCTTCCCAAAGTTTCAAACTTCACCATCTCCAACAACTCAGAAGTTTTCTGTTGTCTCAACTCCAGCCACCACTTCACATGGTGTTCTGTGGCAGTACCGCAGATATTCAGAATTTACCCGTACCCGACAGTGGTCATAACGGAAGAACTGCTTTTCAACAATTTGGTAGAGTTTTGAGTGCTAAACTATTTTGTAGACCTTGTAACAAAGAAAGAGAGATGTATATTCTTCACAAATAACAAATCTTTTATTTTGCCCGTCTAAAACTGTTAGTTTGCTCTATTCAAAGAAACCACCTTTTTTTTGTGCTTCCATCATTCAAGCAAGCCAATAAATCAGTCACAAAACCAAAGAGCTTTTGATACCACTCTCATGAGATGTCAATATAATAACACAAACACAATATGAGAGTAATAAGCAGTGAAAAAATACTCTCTCAAACTTGCAAGAATAAGTGAGGAGCACCAATAAAAATAGAGAAAAAATTAAACCACAAAATAGCATAAGAGACAAACAATTGTTAATGTGAAAAAATCTCTCGAGATAAAGGTAAAAAATCACAAGTTGTATAGACTAAAGAAATAATTCACTATAATCAATAAAAGATACAAGAATGTCTCCAATGAATGCACAAACAATGCTTACAAACAGGCAGAATAAATAAAACACCAATGCTCCCAAACAAGATGATGAAAAAACTCACTTGCAGAGTACGAAATTGCATTCTTTCTCTCCAGATTTTTTTTAATAATCCAACCAATAAAGATTCACGTGTTATGAACCTGCTGTAAAAAATCAGCCCAATCTAAACCCTAAATCCTAAAAAAATCGGCCCTATCTAACAGTGAACGAAGTTGTAGTTGCAATTTTTGAACTTTTTTTCACATAGGAAGGGAGCTGAGAAACCCAACAGAGCCAGTATCTAATTTGCTTTAGTTTGCAGGGTTAGTTAGTTCTGATACTCCAAAAGATGTTCAAGCTGCCATTAGAACGATGAATGGTTGCCAATTAGGTGATAATAAATTGAAGGTTTAGCTTAAGAGGGATAACAAACAGAGTAAGCTTTACTCATGACGGTGGAGAACAAAAAGTTGTATAAATCTCATTGTAATTCAGATAAACCATATGATAATAACATGCGGAGGAGATTGCAATGCTTTCCATGTTGTTGGGTGTGCCAATGAAGAAAAACTTGCATGTGGAGTTCACTGTTTTTAGTTCCTCCGTGATGGCCACTATCGAGTACACGTGACTGCTGATGGTGCCGCCGTAGAACACCACGCTGAGAGGGGGTTGGAGTTAAGACATCATGAAACACTTTTGAGTTATTAGAGGATGGTAAAGTTTGAAACTGTGGTAAGGATGTGGAAGGAAGAAGGAAGGGTCACAGATTCGCTTGACTGAATTAGAATTAGCTTAAATGAAAATAAAATTAGAAATGCAAATTCACATAAATTGGAGAGGATTGAGATCCTTTCTTACACAGGCTTTTTTCTATTTAAATATTGTAATTTAAAAATAAATTTTTTATTTATTATTTTTTTCAAACTATTTTTTGTCTAAAATGAATATGCTATGCAACAAAAAAAATTCACCAACTGACGAAATTGTTAAACTTTATTTTTTTTTTAAATTAAATTTTTGTTGTCAGAAACACAAAATAAGTAAGATGTTGTCACGTGTCATCATTTCTACAATTTTGGTACATGTGTTGGCGAAATTATAAAGAAGTTTTGCCATAAATAGTTGGCAACTTCTTGATGACACGTGTCATCATTTGGATGAATTTCCAGTGAAAATGGCTCAACTTGTGCTGAGTTAACACATGGTGCGAGTTTAGCAAAATGCGCGAATAATATAGCAAAACTTGCGTATCCTTTAGATTTTTCAAATATTATTAACACATGGTGCAAGTTTCGTCATATTATTCGCACATTCTGTTAAGTTCACACTACATGTCAACTTTTCAAAAGTTGTATAATTTTTATAGTGAAACTTATTGATAGTGACATGTGTTATCCTTACTTTTAATTTCTCCAAACATATGGTGAAATTGTAGAGACGATGACATGTGACAACATCTTGCTTATTTTGTGCTTCTAGTAATGAAATTTATTTTTAAAAAATTAAAATTACATGATTTCGTCAACTATATTTGCAAAACTTTTGCTACATGGATTCACCCAAACAAGGAAATAGTTTAAAAAAAATAATAAATAAAGAATTTATTTTTTAAATTATAATATTTAAATAAAAAAGTTAAACATGCTTAAATTTCATTACTTTGATTATGCTTAAACAAGGCATAAAATTTGATGGGAGCCTTTTTAATCGCTTTCTTCAAAGAAACCAATCATGATTCTGAAAAATAAATATATATTTGATAATAAGTGAAAAAAAATTGAAGCTTTCATGTTCTATTTTAAATCTTGCATTAAAACTAGTAAATTTAATTTTAAAATAAAACTTTTCCATATAAATACATTATTTTAAATTTATTTTTAATATTCTTTTATAAAATTATAATTATTTATAGGAATAAATTATGTTTTAGTCCCTGTTCAAAACTATGTTTTATAATTAGTTTTTATAAGTAAAAAATTTGTATCTCATTCGTTATATGCAAATTTATTTTTATTTTATCTTTGGATACGTTGTAACGACATTAACTCTCTTTCTTACATGGGAAACAAGTATCTAATGTGACAAGTTTAAATTGTCTTTTAGTTCTTGTATAGTAGGGTTGTCCAATGGATCAAGTCGGGCGGGTTTAGGTGTGGTTAACCCAAGAACAACTCAAACTGACCCTTGCATGGTTAAGCCTATAACTGTTTGCCTAGAAATTTGGGTTGAACGGGTTGCAGGTTAAGTGGATTGCAGTTTGAGCGAGTCAGAGAATCGGGTTGGGCTAATTTGGGCCCAAAATGGTTTTTGTTGCTCAAAACTATAAGAAAATCTTATTTGTCCTTTTTTTAAGCCCAATTTCAATTTTTTTTCTTTATTAGCATTTTTTTCCTAACAGAATACAATGCAGAATTAGAATTTTTGGAAAAACAGTGTATGACAAATAATATATTAGAATAAATTTTTATATTGAAGTCAAGTCATAGTTCAGTTAAAAAAAATAGAACTAAAATCATAATAAATCTAAATCTAGCTTTACACGACAAATTTTAAATAAAATAAAAATAATCAATCAAAATCTACTCATTCACATCACATGCATTTTAAGAAGGGAAAATTAGAAATATCAATTGGGTCCTAAATTTAGTTCTCAAATGCACAAGCTACAATAACAAGTCCACATGACATATTTTTTCAAACTATGCAGGAAAATAAATCAACCAAACCAACATAAAAATATGAAAAAGTATTGATTGGCAACAACATTGATCAGTAATAGACAAAATTTTCTCCAACTCCTTAATTAGCTCTCATCTCCTTCCTGTTTGTAAATCCATGGAGGAACATTGCAAAAAAGATAAAAATTCTTAGTCAGTTAATGAATTTAACTTGCAATAAAGTTAAGCATATGAAGAGAATGAATATTAGAAGGGAATATCATATACCTATCCATGATGGTTGCAAATGATGAAAATGGTGATTTGATATGGTGAGACAAATCTTGACTTGAGTTTCAAAACTACTATCAGATTGAGAGCATAAAAGTAAAATTTATAAGATAACATGAAACAAAAACAATGACATGAATATTGCAAATTAATACGTGAATATATTTAGTGGAGAGGGAGCAACATCTTACTATCAATAACATAAAATAAAGGGGCTTAAATGGTTATGGTCCAAAATAATTCAACAAAAGTAAAAAATATCTACACAAAAATAAATTATAGATCAATTCAGAATTAGTTCAAAAAATCACTTTGCTAAAACATTTGACAATGTTAAAATAAAAAAATAAGAACCTGCACTTTGTCCTCGAGGATTCCATATAGTCCTTGATCCAAAATAAACCTAATTGATATTCCATCCCAAAATTAGCATCTATTCAAAATAGCTTTTTTATATCTCATGCTCCAAAAAGTCATTGCTAAAATAGAAAAAAAAATAATACCAAGGCACAAAGTTACAAAAACAAAGTTAAATAAAAAAAGTGAAAAAATAAACAAAGGCAGTATGTTAAAAAAAAAATACACAACTTACCTTATAAGCAATCTTAGCTAATATTAATTGGCTTAGATAGATCAATAGAACTTTCAGGTCCAATCCCTCCAGTCACAAGTGCAGCTCCTTTAACAATTAAGAAGTTTTAAATGCATGAGATCAACCAAAAAAATATTAAAATACCAAAAATAACAAGTTGTTTATTTATTAAATTACCAAAAACAACAACAATAAACTACCTGCTATAATAGTCTCTAAAATCTCAAAATCCTCATTGATGTCCTTATCCTTAAATTAGAAAAGAGAGGATTTTAACC